CAGACCATCCTAGTCACACTCCCCTGTCAGCATTCACACACCCCAGCAAGAACAGTCCCAGTTCGTCACACCAGCTCAGGGAGTTCCCTCTAACTCCATCTCTCCTTCCCCCCAGAGCCCCCGCGGGTGCACGTGAGTGACCGGCCGAGCCGGGACGGGCTCACCACCCTCTCCTGCCGGGTCCACGGCTTCTACCCGCGGAACGTGGCCGTCGTGTGGCTGAAGAAGGGGGTGGCCGTGCCACAGGAGACAATCCAGGGGGGGGGTGTTTCCCAGCGGGGACGGGACCTATCAGACCCGGGCCACCATCGAGATCGACCCCAGCAGTGAGACTGATTATACCTGCTGTGTGGAGCACCCCAGCCTGCTGGAGGATCTGAGAGTGCCCTGGGGTAAGGGGGGACTGGCCCTGCGATGTGGGGAAGTGGTTAGAGGGGACACTGGATACTAATGGGGGAGCGGAGTCAATGACCCCTGTGATGAGGAAAGGGGGTTGGGGGCGGTTATGGGGCACCAATCGGGGGTGAGGTATCTGACCCATGTAATAGGGGAAGAGGGTTTGTGGTTCTTCTTCGAGATGTGTTGTTCCTGTGTATTCCACAGTAGGTGTGCGCGCTCGCCACGTGCACCGGTGCCGGAAGTTTTTCCCTTAGCAGTACCCATAGTGGGGGAGCCCCGCTGCGACCCCTGGAGTGGCACCTCTATAGCACTATAAGGGGAGCTGTGCGCTCCCCCCACCCTCAGTTCCTTCTTGCCGTCAGTGAAGGTAGTCGGAACTTTGTGCTCCAGCTTTGCTGTAACACCTTTAGCCTTAGTGGTACGATTCTCAATTGTAGATAGTTTCTCTAGTTAGTGCCCTGGCTCGGGGCATGCCCCGTGCTCCAGGCTTCAAGTCGTGCGACTCCTGTCGCAATTCCATGCCCAGAAGTGATCCACACTCTGTGTCTTCGCTGTCTGGGCAAGACTCACATAAGTGAGCGTTGCAAAATCTGCAAATCGTTCAAGCCCCGAACGAAGCGCGAACGAGATATCCGACTCCGGACTCTACTTATGGAGTCGGCATTGGCACCGGCGCGCCGACCTGCCCCGGCGCCGGGCACCAAGTCCTCAGTGCGGAGCGAGGCCCCATCTACCAGTCAGCACCGCTCCCCTGCTAAGAAGCAAGAGACAAGGATGGGGTGAGGCCAGACCCGAGTTGGGCAGCCCACGATCTCCATCGGGACATAGACCTCCAACTCACGCTGAGTGGAGTAGTCTGGTCCCTTTCCTGCGGTGAGAATGCCATCAACACCGGAGGCAGCACAGGCAGCGCATGACATCCTCGTCCTTCCAGTGCCGGGCGTGCTGCCCAAGTCCGGCCCACGGTCCCGAGGGAAACCACCACTGAGCGCTCACCAACCATCTCCAGCCAGATCCGAGGCTGAGATGCCTGCCCGTTCCGAGGGGCCTTCCCATAGCCCGCGACAGACCTCCACTCCGTCGGCCGGGTCGCCTGAGAGCGAGTCTCCGGAGGCCTCCACTGCCCAGAGGGGCCGCAGGCACCGGGATAAGAGGCATCGACGCTCCTCTTCCAGTCGCAGTGATAGGAGTAGCTCTCGACGCCATCGGCACCGCCGCTCATATTCGAGTGTTCGCCGAGACAGGTGCCGTAGTCGGAGTGCATCCCGACCGACATCGAGGTGTCGTAGCCACGGTCGCCGGAGGGATCCCAGAGACCATGCCCCCAACGTATATATGTCGTCCTCGTCAAGGTCCAAATCCCGGGGTCGGCGCCGACACGGCCGGGACTTGTCCAGCCGCTTGTATGGCACCGTGCGTTCATCGGTGACCTCAGCCTCGGCTCCCAGCCGTCCCTCCCCAGGCCGCATTGCCCCTCAAGAGCAAGTGGCTCTGCTAGGACCCCATGCAGGTCAGTGGCAAGGGGCGCCCTTGCAAGGACAGTGGTGCTAATGGGCACCGTGGCCTCAAGCGCCCGCACCAGCAAAGCCCCATTCCGTGGCAGGGACATCCCAGGTCAACTCGGTGTCCCCACCTCGGCACAGAGATCAGTCCTCGGACACCAAACCAGCGGCACCGCGCCCGGGCCCAGAGGCGGGGTTTGAGCCGACGGTACCACCCGATGCCCTGGAGGCAGCACCGGTTGCCTCGTCGGCACCGGGTGAGTCCACAGCGGCGCCGCCCCCGGTCTCGCAGGAGGACTTTAGAGCTCATCAAGAGCTTCTTAGACGGGTGGCCTCGAATCTCCAGCTCCAGGCTGAAGGAATGGAGGAGCCGTCGGGCACCTCGTTTAATGTCCTGTCCTCCTCGGCACTGGGCCACGGGGCCCTACCTCTGCACCAAGGGGTGGCCAATATTTCCACTGGGCTTTGGCAGACCCCGGCCTCCCTGGCGCCCATTTCTAAGAAAGCGGAGCGGAAGTATTTCGTGCCAGCAAAGGAACACGAGTACTTGTACACTCACCCGGCCCTAAACTCGCTGGTGGTGGAGTCCGTTCACCACCGTGAGAGACATGGCCAGCCCGCGCCCACCCCCGAGGATAAAGACGCCAGGAGACTAGACACTTTTGGGAAAAAGGTTTATTCATCGGCGAGCTTCCAGCTCAGGGTGGCAAACCACCAAGCGCTGCTGAGCCGGTATGATTTTAACTTGGGGGGTCTCTGCCAAAATTCGAGCCTCTTCTCCAAGACAAGGACAAGAGGGAACTAAGAGCTTTGGTCGATGAGGGGGCGGCGGCGGCAGCGAAAGCAGCTCTTCAAGCGGCTTCGGATGGCCTCGTCTCCATGCGAAGGGCGTCGTGGCTCTCACTGTCGGGGCTGTCCGCGGAATCCCAGTCCCTCGTGCAGGACCTGCCCTTCGACGGGAAGGCCCTGTTTGCAGATCAAACAGATACTTGTCTGCACGGGATGAAAGACTCCCGCACCACCCTGCAGACCCTAGACCTGTATGTCCTGCCACCCAAGGACAAAACCAGGCCTCAGACCTCGGTTCCCCCAGTTAGGGGCAGATATGAGCCCCCGCCTAAGAGGCCGAGGGAGCAGAGGTGTAGATCCCAGCGCCAGTCCTGTTCAGCCCCACACCCCAGACCCTCGAAGGGCAAGAGGCAGGGGGGGCCACTGGGCCTGTTGCCTGGGAAGCCCCTCAGTTAATAAAGTTTGTGTTTGGCAACAGTTTATCTGCCTTCCAAGTGCATTGGTCCTGTATAACATCGGACCGGTGGGTCCTCAGTACCATCTCCAAGGGGTACATGTTGCAATTTGCCTCGTCCCCTCCCCGCCATCCTCCGGAGGACCCGGAGCACGCCCTTCTTCTCAACCAGGAGGTGACACGCCTCCTCACCCTGGGCACGGTGGAGAAGGTACCTCAGGAATTCCAGGGCAGGGGTTTTTACTCCCACTATTTCCTGATCCCGAAGGGGAAAGGCGGGCTCAGGCCCATCCTCGACCTGCGGAATCTCAACCAGTTCCTGGTTCGTTGCAAGTTCCGTTTGGTGTCCCTGGCCTGTATTGTTCCGTCCCTGGACCCAGGGGATTGGTTCGCGGCCCTGGACCTCCAGGATGCGTACTTCCATATCCATATTTTCGAGGGTCACAGGCGCTTCCTCCCTTCCTGGTAGGGCAGGACCACTACCAGTTTACGGTCCTTCCCTTTGGTCTCTCTACAGCCCCCAGGGTTTTTACCCAATGCATGGCGGTGGTGGCAGCCCACCTCAGGCAGAACGGGCTGCAAATCTTCCCCTACCTGGACGACTGGCTGCTCAAGGGCAAGTCTCGGTCCCAGGTACAGGCCCAGGTGGAATTCCTCCTGGCCACTTGCGACAGTCTAGGCCTAGTGGTAAACAAAGACAAGTCCACGTTAGTCCCGGTTCAACGCATACACTTCATAGGGGCGCTGTTAGACTCCGTGGTGTCCAAGTCCTCTCTTCCCCCAGACAGGTTCGAGACGCTCAAAGGTCTCATAGCTTCAGTCACGGCCTTCCCCATGACGACGGCACGTGTGTGCCGTCAACTCTTAGGCCATATGGCGGCATGCACCTCGGTGGTGCGACATGCCATACTCAGGATGAGGCCCCTTCAACTCTGGTTGGCCTCCCAATACTCCCAAGCCAGGGACGGCCTGGACAAGGTCGTCGCGCTTCCACCCGCAGTGGTAGCCGACCCGCAGTGGTGGTCCCTCCCGAGCAATATGTTGCAAGGGATCCCCTTCCGAGAGGCCCCTCCCTCGATACATCTGGTGTCGGATGCCTCGGACCTGGGATGGGGAGCCCACGTGGGGAGCTTCCAGACCCAGGGCAGATGGTCGGCCGCGGAGTTGTTCCTGCACATAAATGTCAGGGAGCTCAGGGCGGTGCGCCTGGCTTGCGTGGCCTTCCACCGGTATCTGGGGGGGAAGATGGTCAGGGTCCTCACAGACAATACGACCGCAATGTATTACATCAACACGCAAGGGGGCACGAGGTCCTCGGCCTTGTGCTAGGAAGCCCAGCACCTGTGGGAGTTCGGTATAGCCCACAACATCTCCTTGAGGGCTTTTCACCTATCCGGCACGCGCAATACACGAGCCGGTCGCCTGAGCAGGGTTTTCTCCCAACAGCACGAGTGGTCACTCCGCAGGGAGGTTGCCAGGCAGCGTTTCCTCGCGTGGGGCACTCCCCAGGTAGACCTGTTCGCCTCCGACCGGAATCACCTCTGCCCTCAGTTCTGCTCCAGGGCAGGAGGGGGCGAAGGGGCGATATCGGACGCGTTCCTGATTCCATGGTCAGGCTGCCTGTTCTACGCCTTCCCGCCCTTCCCCCTGATAGGCAAGGTCCTACAGAAAGTGAAGGCAGACGGGTCAAGGGTTATCCTGATAGCACCGAATTGGGCCCGTCAGCATTGGTACGGGTCCCTCCTACAACTTCTAGTGGCCCCTCCATGCAGGCTGCCGCTCCAACCGGACCTCCTCTCCCAGGAGGGGGGTGCCTCCTCCACCCCAACCTGGCCGCGTTTCACTTGACAGCGTGGCTGCTCCATGGCTAGACGAGGGGGAGGGGAGGTGATCTGAGGGTGTTAGGCAAGTTCTGCTGGAGAGCAGGAAGCCGTCCACACGACGAACCTACCTGGTCAAATGGTATCGGTTCTCCACGTGGGCGAGGGAGAGGGGTTCCTCCCCCTCATCTGCGTCGCTCCAGCTCATCCTCGACTACCTCCTGTCCCTCAGGACCCAAGGGCTGGCGCTCGCCTCGGTCAGTATACACCTAGCGGCAATTTCGGCTTTCCACCCTCCGGTGGCTGGTCAGTCGGTATTTTCCCACCACATGACTTCCCAGTTTTTAAAAGGTCTGGATCGGGCATTCCCTTACGCCAGACCCCCGGTCCTGCTCTGGGACCTGAACCTAGTGCTCTCCCGCCTCACGGACCTCCCCTTTGCACCCTTGGCCACGTGTTCCTGGTCCCACTTATCATGGAAAGTGGCGTTCCTGGTGGCTATCACCTCAGCCTGCCGGGTCTCGGAGCTCAGGGCCCTGACCGCTGATCCCCCGCACACGGTCTTCCATAGGGACAAGGTCCAGCTCCGCCCGCACCCGGCTTTTCTGCCGAAGGTAGTTTCGGCTTTTCACATGGATCAGGACATTTTCCTCCTGGTCCTCTGTAATAAGCCCCATTCCTCCAATGAGGAACGCCGCCAACACATGCTAGATGTGCGCAGAGCGCTGGCTTTTTACCTAGACGGAACCAGGCCATTCCGGACGTCCCCTCAGCTGTTTGTTGTCTCGGCTGAGCGCATGAGGGGACGCCCAGTGTCTACCCAGCGGATTTCCTGCTGGATCACCTCGTGCATACGCACGGGTTACGACCTGGCAGGGGTTCTCCCGCCTCCTATAGTGAAGGCTCATTCGACGAGAGCTCAGGCCTCTTCAGCTGCCTACGTGGCTCATGTCCCTATTCAAGACATCTGTAGGGCTGCTACGTGGTCCTCTGTCCACACCTTCTCATCGCACTATGCGATCGTCCCCCAAACGCGGGATGATGCCGGGTTTGGTAGGACGGTACTCCGCCCGGGTAACTCTTAAACTCCTACCCACCTCCATCAGGTATAGCTTGGAGTCACCTCTAGTGGAATACACATGAGCAATCACTCGAAGAAGAAAGGACAGTCGTAGGACTGATGAATGAAATTGTTTTTAATTGTTCACTTTATTAATGTAACTTCATAAGTAAAGTTTTATGAATGAAACAATATTCATTCATAAACCGGTTACCCCAATAACTGGATAATTGACAGTTAAGATGCTTGTTAAGAGCCATAGCTGTTCAGCCAGTTGCTCTTGTAAATTTCACTATCAATCCAATTCCTGCTGAAATCACTGAGACTTGCCCTGTTTCAGTATTGTAATTTCTGTTCACCATTTATTACACTTGCCTACAGTGTAACTTCTGTTCACTGTTTGCCATATTGTAATTCAAACCCCATTTTAAAACGCTTACTCCAGTTTGTAAGGGCTTGCTGCAACCTTCATTTTTGCAAACTCTGCTGTAATCTTATTAGTTTAGTTTAGATGTGTGAATGAGGGATGTATGGATGATGGAATCAACCTCCAGCCCCAGCCTGTCCTGATTAAATAGAGTTCAAACACCAACGGCTGAAGATGCAGACAAGAGCCCTAACAAAGTAAGAAGAGCCCACCCTAAAAAGAGAAGAACAAATTTAAAATTTTATTAGAAAATGTTTAAAAATAGATGATACAGAGAGTTGAAAATTCAGTTATTAGTCATCGGGGGTAACATACAGAGTATAGGGGGACGTTAGTATTTTGACATTGGATAGCACATAACACATACAGTCTGCAATATCCCCAATGGGGGAGTACAAGGTGGATGAATCAAGGTACAGTCAGCAAGCAGTGAGGGTACATCACTCATACAGGATTACAGGCAATCCTAGGTATAAATAAGTGGGCCGAGTAATGAGGATAGGATAACCCTCATATGGTGGAGTTCGGTTCGGTTCGGTGGGTTCAGGGGATAAGGTCCAACAGAGGAAGTCTTCAGGTCTCTTCCTCATTGTGGGTGCGCGAAGTCATGCCGGCTCACTCTCTGTATTGACGGTGGCCGGTGATGTGCTCTGTATAAATGTCCCGGGACAGGTACAATAGAAGGAAGATCAAAGCCCGGTCCCAGGCTGAAAGTCACATCTGCAATGGACGGGTGATCAATCACCAAACCCAGAGGCAGCGTGACACAGCAAGACCCATAGACTCTAGATTCAAACTAAAGCCTACAAAAAGGATGGGTGAGATGGGAGACTTTGGAGGGTAACATTCTGCTGCCAGCATGGAAGGGCATCGGTGCATGCTGTGACGAACTGGGACTGTTCTTAATGTGGTCTTTGAATGCTGAGAGGGGAGTTTGGCTAGGATAGTCTGCACTGGGGGATGGGAGACTGACCTTGAGGGAAGATACCTGAGCATGTAACGTGAGAACCCAGGAAGGGGTTAGAGGCCAGGTGACACCTTTGCCCGGGAAACTAAACAAAGGCTGGGGGAGGAGACGCTGGGGAGAGGGAGAGTTTCAGAGCTGGCTGGTGGAATGGCTGGGAGGCAGACGGGGCTCTGACCCCCCCAAGGGGGCTGGGGTGCCCTGGGACCCCAAGATGGACCTAACTGAGGGGGTCCTGTTGTCTATGCCTGCAAGACCTGTCTTGGACTGTATTCCTGTCATCTAAATAAACCTTCTGCTTTACTGGCTGGCTGAGAGTCATGGTGAATCGCAGGAAGCCGGGGGTGCAGGGCCCTTAGTCCCCCACACTCTGCGACACATGCCCAACAGAGATCCAGCTCGTCCTTGTGCCCGGCTTTCCTGGCCAGTTACCGCCACAAGCTGCGAACCCAAGCTATGTTCAGGACTGGTAACTATGCAGCAGCTGCAGAACATCTGATGGATGCGTGTGTGTGTGTGTGTGTATAGGTATTAGGTATAATGTGTGTGTATAAGCATTAAGATATTAGTTATTGGTCAAGAATCAAATTGTTATCATAATAAATGTGGCATCTTTGTCTTGCCCCCTGAAAAGATACTGTGTAGTTTTGTCTGTATAACACAGTTACCTGTTCTGTAACTGGCGTTCTTCGAGATGTGTTGCTCAGGTGTATTCCATGTCCTGCCCTCCTTCCCCTCTGTCGGAGTTGTCTGGCAAGAAGGAACTGAGGGTGGGGGGAGCCCGTGGCTCCCCTTATAGTGCGATATGTCGGCGCCACTCCAGGGGTCATGGGGGGCACTCCCACTACGGGTACTGCTAAGGGAAAATCTTCCGGCACCGGTGCATGTGGCGAGCACGCACACCTACTGTGGAATACACAGGAACAACACATCTCGAAGAACGCCAGTTATGGAACAGGTAACTGTCCTTTTCTACCCCCTTTATTAATGTTTACAAATCTCCTTACATGTCCCAGGCCTGTACACATGCCAGCTGCATTTATTGAGTAACAGTTTTGTCCCAGGGCACAGCGGGGTGGAATGCATATGGCTGCATGGAGCTGGTGGGAAGTCTGGGGCAAGGGGGCTGCAGGACACAGCCGGGGGGGCAGACTCACCGATCCCTGCAGAAAGAGCAGAAGGGGCTTTGAGGATCCTCTCACTCACTCCCGTCCCCTTTCAGAGCCCAGCTCTTCGCTGATCCCCATCGTGGTTGGAGTTCTCGCTGCCCTCGCCCTCGTCAAGGGTGTGGTAATCGGAGTTGTCGTCTGGCGAAAGAAGTCAGGTAACAGCTCTGGACGGATGATGCAGATTCTCCGACTGCTCCTGACTCCCGGCAGCCCCAGGGAGAGCAGCAATACAGACCCAGTGTCAGTGCTGTGTGACCGCTCTCCTGGGACCTAGAGACCCTGATGGGAGGTGTTCCTGGGGCAGGCCCAGACAGCGCAGGGAAAGGGAGGCTGCTCGCTCTGGGAGCCCAGGGAGTCTGTCTGTCTGTGAGCCAGGGGTCGGGGCTGTGTCAGGCACCTCAGTTCCGGTCCGTGGACGCAGATCAGAGCTGGGTCCGGCCCTGAGAACGGCTGCACTCACTGAAATCTCTTCTCTCCGTAGGGAAAAAGGGAGCCGGCTACTCGCCTCCAGGTGAGGGAGAGGAAACTTCTGCCTCTGTCCATGCGGCGTCTCTGCACCTTGTGCCAGCCAGTCCTGCTGCCCTGCATACAGCAGCTTGGCACGTCACAGGAGGCCCCCCGCCACCCCCCCTCACAGCCTGGAGAGCGGCAGCAGCAGGACTGGCTAATGCCCCTCACACCCCACCGCCTTCCCTCTTTAGATCCAGTTACTGCTGTTCCTCACGGCACGTTAATACGTCCCAGGGAACCCCCTCCTTGTTGGGGTGAGGGGTCCCTGCTTGTGTGTCACACACTGTTGCCTTCTGTAGCCCCTAATGTCAGAACGTCCCTCTGTCCCTCGCATGCCCCATCGGTGTGATAACAGAGCCCAGAGCTGTGTCCGGCCTGTGAAATGTCACCGGTTCTAATCTCACCTCCTCCGTGTTTAGTCCACGGTGGGACTGTGGCTGGATCCCTTGTGCGGGGTGAGGGGAAATCTCCCTGGGGAGCCTGATGCACCCGCTGCATTCAGGGAGACACTAACCCCTCTTCTCACCCCACAGGAAGTGACCATGGATATGACACCTCTGCACAAGGTAGTGTGATTAACGAAGGGGTCCCGAGCTCAGGGGATTTGCTGCTCTCACTGAGGCCTCTAGGGAGGACCCTGCCCTGTGGTTAAACCCAGCGGCACCCAGGCACTGCCCTTTGGGATCTAAGAGCTACCAGCCATGTCACAAACCAGCCCTAGGGAGCCCAGCAGGACGGCGCTGGACTTCGCAGTAGCCCTTGCTGGGGTGCAGGGAATGGGGTTGGGGGGGGATTCTGCAGCCACTTCTCCCTTCTGCGCTCTCTGTGGGGTGGATTTAGACAGCAGGAACTCGGGGGTTCTCTGGCCATAGGGAAGGGGCCGGGATGAGCCATTGACCCAGGGTTGGCCGTGATCAGTTGTTATAATGAATCCCTGTGCCGTAGGCAGTGCAGCTCCCAGCTAGACCGCCCTGGGTAGAACCCGGGATATTGGGCTCCAGACCCACAGGCCTCTGCTGTGTGAGTCAAGGGAGCGACTCCAGCAGCTGTCAGCAGTATTAGGGCTCTTGTCCTGCTAGTCACACCCACCAGAGGGCGACAGTCACACACCCCTGCACACTTAGTGCTTGTCTACCTGAGAGAGCCGCACACGACGGTGTGAACGGAAACCCGATCTTTAGTTAAAGCCGTGCAAACCCCTGTGTAGACATCTTGTCTACATGGTACGTGGAA